AGTTCCACATTCTCTGTCAAAGATCCCCTTTTCAGTAACCATTCAGTTGCCAAAAGCCTGCCTGAAAAGCCTTTGCTCGCTGCCAGATGGACAACAGGGAGGAAGCCAAGCTTGCCTCACCTGGCGTGGAAGTTCACAGTTTGAGAGTGGCCATAAAAGAAGTCACAAATCACAGACAAAATATTTTGGTAGCACTATATGGCTAGTCGCGCTGGCCACATGACCACGGAAACTGTCTTTGGACAAAGGCTGGCTCTATGGCTTGGACATGGGGATGAGCATCGCCCCCTAGAGTTGGACACGACTGGACTAAATGTCAAGGGGAACCTTTACCTATACTGCTGCCGTCATTAATAACCAGTTAAAGTCTTGTCCTCCATGCATTTGATTGCCCCTGTTTTAAGCTGTCTGTTAGCAACCATCACGACATTCTTCTGTAGTCACAAATTCTTCAGGCTAACTGCACAACTAGAAGCTGGATCTTCCAAGATCTTAGTAAACACTATCAATCTCCTTAAAGTCTTCCTTTCCAGTGCCTTCTTCAGATCCAGGGTGGTGTAGCGGTTAGAGTACTGGATTTTGGATTAGGATTTAGGAATCCTGGGTTCAAATCCTCAGCCAGTAATGAAACTCACTGGGTTAACTTGAGCTAGTTACATTGTCTCAGCCTGACTTACTTCACAGGGTTATTGTGAGGACAAAGCATGGAAGAGGCAAGCCATGTAGGTTGCCTTAAGTTTTTTGAAGAAAAGCTGGGGATATAAATGTAATAAATAAGAGCCAATATTACAGTAGCCCTCCAAGCAACTGGAACACTCCAAGCCCCAGCCTTTATTTGCACCACCAAGCATGTTTTTTTCTCCCTCCTGCTCAGAAACGGTTACCATTGACTTCTTCCTTTTCTGTATTTTCTCAGAAGGAACCCCACATTTGCTTTGCAGGCAGCCTCCTCCCTTGCAAATGGGTAACGTTCCTTCTTATCAGGCAGCTGCATGTATACACCACATTTCCTTTCTGGGTTTTGTTAAATTAGACCACATGGAACAATATAACCCTTCAGAGGGTCAAAAGTTTTCCTTGCAGGTTTCTCTAAAAACCCCTAGGGTTTCATTCACTCAAATAATACAGACCTAACTGAGATTGCCAGGAGATTTTGTGCAGCAGTCCTCTATTGCTTTTTGCAGTTCTTAATGAAATTGGATAAAATAAAGAAATGCAGGTTTTCAAGTCCTAGATGTAGAGTGCCAAGACATTATTTATTTATAAATTAATGATATGTGTAAATTGTCATTTCTCCATGAAGGATCTTAGGATGATGTTTTCAATGTTGAGCCTCATGGCGTAGTGGTTAAACTGCTGTACTGCCGCCAAAATTCAGCTCACGACCAGGAGTTCAATCCCAGGTAGTTGGTTGACTTGGCCTTCTATCCTTCTGAGATCAGTAAAATGAGTAGCCAGCTTGCAGGCGGTGGGGGGGGCAATGTGTAGCCTGCATAATAAACTTGTAAACCGCCCAGAGAGTGCTTTAAACACCGTGGGGCGGTATATAAGCAGCATGTTTTGTTTTGCTTTTAATGCTAAAAAAATTACAATAAAATTATAAAGAAACATAAAATGATTCAAGCAGCAACCAAACAGATTACTCAACCATTCAATAAAGAAGGTGCATAACTGAATGCAGAAAAGCAAGTATGAGATACATAGCCCAAAGGTTTTTTTAAAAAAATTAAGTGATAGTTGCACTGAAGGGAGGACATGTTGCCTGAAATCCAGTTGTGCAATTACACAAATGGTGTAGTTTTCAGAATCAAATTGTTGTCAGTCAAGAACTCTCCCTAGATCTAATCTGTAGCATGCTGAGTCGCATGACTAAATATGCAACAGATAATGTCTACAGCAGTTCTTTTCCAGAAATTACACCATTTGCATAACTGCAACAGGGAAGTTGTAGTCCAAAACAGGAAAGTTTCTGAGCTCCTCTATATCTACTCCAATCCCCTTCATTTTTTTCTTGCAGATCAGCTGACAGTGAATAATACCGGCAGTGTTTGTGTAGATCTGTAGATTTGTTTTTAAAAGGGGGGGGTAAAAACTGGTGCTAAAAAGGATAGCCACCATAAAAAACATCACCATAAGTCCCTATGTGTAAGAACATTGTTTCTTTATTTGCAGGCATCAGCAACATAGCTATCTGATTTATATTATTCCCCATGCCTCCATTCCATTTTATCTTCCAGTCTTGAATGCCTGGAGGTGCTGACTGATCTATGGACACCAAAGAAACTTTCTGAATAAACAGTGCTTTTTGCTGAGTTTCTCTGATCCACATCCAGCACTCTTACCAGTTATGATGTACTTTCAAATCAGTTTTAACACTCTAAATTATGCCAAGACTGAAATACATTGGCAGAAAAACAATGCAATCTTTAATATGTCTAATTCACAAAGTTCAACTCATAAAGTTGCCTCATTTTTATAATATGCAAATGATGGCAGCTATTTTTTGTAATATGCAGATTAGGCCAACTGGATTTTAAGAACTAGAATATGATAGTCTTCACCACAGGCCTTCCCCTGACTTATGCAAAGCTACAGAAGATAGCTGTGATCTTTTATCATCTTGAGACTTGTCCCTCTTACTCTCATTGCAGTGAGAATCCTTTGGCCACTGTAGTGCTCAATCATACTGATTTCCCACCCCCCACTGCCAAGTAGAAGTTGTTAGGCTGGTGTCGGACATGGCTTTGCTAACCTGGCCTTTCCTTATATTCAGGTGGGAGGGATGTAGAACTGAGAAAAACTCACAGGCACATTTGATACCAGGAAATGGTGGATGTTAGAATCAGCCAGATCTGTGAGGAACGTGAAAAGTAACAAGGGCTCCGTGTCTTAAATCTCAGGTTCAAATTACTGTGAAATAATTGGTGACGCATTTTAACTGCCTGATGAGTGTTTTACAGCTTTGGGCAAACCCTGTGCCTTGTCTACTTGGATACAAGCTTGACAGTGTGTTGAAAAGGGGTGTATCCCACAAAGTGAAAGGCTGTAAGACAGCCAGGCTTTTTAGGGGTGGAGTAGGAAAATCACTACCAAATTTACTTTAACCTGTTCAGAGGTAGTAATTATGGGGTTCTGAGGAAACCCTAGTGGCTAGGGTTAAAGAATGGATGTACAGTAGTTCCTTGCTGGTTTAAACCATTACTATTCATTCTTCAGTCCAGAAATTATTCCTAAAGTGAGCTACAAAGCTTTTTAAAACAAATCTTGAGAAATACTGACTATGAAATCATGCAATTTAACAGCACAACAGCCAAGAGGTCACTGTTAGAAGAGCATTAGGTACATACATTCACCCTTTGTCTAATCTGCCTTCCCAGAGGTCATGCATGTACAAGGAGGGCCACAATGATACCCTTATTAAGTTGTGTGAAGTGATACATTTGGATTCTCAGATATTATTTGGACTAACTAAATAGAGTGGGGAAATAGATTGTAATTCCTCTGACACAGATGAAAAGAAAACATTATTGGGACTCTAACTCAGAAAATATTTTGCATCTCATTCTGTGGTTTTGTTACCTCAAAGTGCCTTTGAAGTCTATAGGCTTGGCCTGTGTAAACTAAAGTTCTTGGCCTGGCTTTTATGCCCTTGGACTATGAGATACTGACAGGCTAGAGGACCTGGCTTTTGTTTATATTCTCCTTCTTGGCTTCATGCTGGGGTAAAGAAGGATTACAGGTAATTAAAAGCCAGCCCATCTCTTTAGTAGATAAGTCAACCATAGTCTATTTGTCTCCCTCTAAGGAGGGAGAAAGGGGGAGTTATTCCAGGCAAGTAGTAATTTCCTTGTGACTCATGAGGAGATGTTGCAAGAGACATTCTGTAGGTTAGAGTAAGTTAGGAGCTGGAGGTTACTGTTTCTTATGTGTAATTTGCATGCACTGCTTTTATGATTTTGAAACTGTTTAAAACTTTTTGCTGTCTTCATTTTATTTTTGTCCTTTTCTGTGCTTTCTTTTTAATAAACTTTACAAAATCTGCAAACCTGGTCTACAAGGTAATTGAGAGGGGGGTGGCTCTATTGCCCAGTTCTTCAGTCTTGGTCATTCTACTGTTTTGGGAAGTATCTCTGAGCGTTCTCCAATTAGGAGTGGTGGCAGAATAGGAGAAAAGACAAATTAGGAGCAGTCTGGAAGAGACCCTATGGATCATCAAGTCCAACCCCTGTCAAGGAGGCACAGTGGAGAATTGAACTCCCACCTTTTGGTTCTCATCCAGATGCCTTAAACTGGTGGTCCCGACCTTTTCCTAGCTTTGCCTTGTTCAGGGGGGGCATGGTGCACCTGCAGGGGGGTTGAGCTTGTGTTCGCGCATGCACACATCACGCTCGGTGCCCCACTTGCACACATGAATACAGCACACTCACAGGGGGCAGAATGCGCTCACATGCATGCATGCTGCCGCGCTTGTGGGGGGCGCTTGCACACATGCGCACATCACGCTCACAGGGGGGCAGAATGTCCTTTTGCACATGTGCATGACAGTGATCGTGGGGAGGGTAGGAGATCTGTGTCTGCGGCCTCGTCCTGGATAAGCTGCGGACCACTACTGGGTCGTGGACCAGGGGTTGGGGACCTCTGCCTTAAACCATTGAGCTAATTCAAATAATTCATTTTGGCACAGAAAACTGTATAATAGTTTGGGATCCTAATACAGAAATAGCAGCTTGCTCTCAAGTGAACCTCCATGTTCATTGATATTCTCAACTAGAGGCCAGGGTTTTGGTACTGTCATCAAAAATCAGAGTGTTGGCAATGGGATACAAGGTCTTTTCAGTAATAGCACACCAGCTTTGGAACAACACTAACTTTAATTTTGGATTTTTGTGTTCTTAGGAATGTCAAATGTGTCCACTGTATGCATGCCAACTTGGACATGCTAATTGCAGGATCAGGATGTAAATAAACATATAACTGTGCCTTGTTGTTTATTTTCTTAGGTGATGAGTTGGAGTACATTCGACCCAACCTTTATCGGAACGTTGCGCGGCAACTAAACATCTCCTTACACTCAGAAACGGTGGTGACAGATGCCTTCTTAGCAGTGGCAACACAGATCTTTTCCTCAGGTGCAGTACTACTCAGTCCACAGTATGAGTAAGGGAACAAGAAATGAAGTGTGTAAGCATAGGCCTGTTTTTAGGCAAGCCTGTAGGGTGGGGCTCACTTGGCAAAGAGTCCTGGCTGTGAGCAGTTTGGCAGTGAAAGCTGTATTAATGATTTAACACAAATCTCTATCTTTGTTTCTTTTCTTACTTCTCTCTAAGGAGATCCTTTAGCCTCTCCCTGTTTTTCTTTGATCTCTTTGATTTCAAGCTTTGCATGGCTATCCACTCCTGGCAGTCAGCATGCTTCTGCTACTCAGCAGTGATGGGGGTTCTTTGAACTTCTGGCTGTTTTGGAATGAAGCTTCCTCAGTTTCCCTTACAATTGACCATGCTCGCTGAGAGGTCCAGGACATCTGGAAAGGCAAATACTCTCTAACCAAAACAGGTTTCTGTGTAGTAATTAAAAAACAAGAACACTTGTTTCTGTTGAATCCTGAATTGAAGACATTCCTTCCTACCAAGTTATTGCTTCACCCCTAGTACGTGTCTTTCCCCTGGTGTGGAAGACAACAGTGAAAAAGCCTAAGATGTGCACTGGGTTTGTGATAAAGAGTTGTCATAATCTGAGTTTCTTCTTGGGCATGTGTGAACTAGGGAAAATGTTCCACAGTCTAATTTATTCTGTATTCTTTCTCTATAATGGCATTGTAGACTTATTTAAATTTTAAGAAAAAACTATCTGATAGGATAAGCATATATTTTGAGTTTCAAGGTAGGTGGATCATTTTCCCTCACTGGATCACCTTTGATTGTGTAAAGATGAAAGAATACTGAAGTTCAGCATAATTTAAAGAACATTTAAATGTGTTAAAATGTTCAGTACTTAATGTTTTGATTTTAAAAAGGATCAGTTTTACTTTCTCGCCTGCCTTTTCTGTATCAGAAGAGGTGGACTACATAAGAGGTAAAGGAGAGTAAAACATGTTGGGCGTGGGTGGAACATTTCCTTTTGTTAGGGGAGGCAGGCACTGTGTTACATCTGAACAAAGGCTGAAGCTGTAACCATATGCACACCTACCTAGAATTACACTCAACTGAACAATTTCTAGTGACATTGAAGCTTATTTACTAGTAAAATTGCATAAAATTGTTCTAAAAATGTCCTTCAGAGCTGTTTGGAAGTTACAGACAAAGCAACAAAACACCCGGTATTTGCTAAACAAAAGAGTTTAGCCCAACAGGCAGCTGTTACTGCATAGCCTTTTCATTGGTCTGTCTGTATATGCAACAGGAGACATGGATTTCTTAAAACTACCCTCTATGAATTCAGACTGTTCTTCACTCTTATTATCAGTGAGCCATGAGCCTGGTTTAGAAGAGTCTCAGAGAAAAGGGCAGTACTTAAGGTATACAACTGCAATATTATATAATATGTAAAGGTAAAAGGTAAAGGTTCCCCTTGACAATTTTTGTCCAGTCGTGTTCAACTCTAGGGGGCGGTGCTCATCCCCGTTTTCAAGCCATAGAGCCAGCGTTTTGTCCGAAGACAATCTTCCGTGGTCACATGGCCAGTGCGACTTAGACACAGAACGCTGTTACCTTCCCACCGGGGTGATCCCTATTTATCTACTTGCATTTGCATGCTTTCGAACTGCTAGGTTGGCGGGAGCTGGGACAAGCAACGGGCGCTCACTCCGTTGTGTGGATTCGATCTTTCGACTGCTGGTCTTCTGACCCTGCAGCACAGGCTTCTGCGGTTTAGCCTGCAGCGCCACCACGTCCCTTGTAAAGACCTTTATGTATAACGCCACATTGCAGTGCTGTGCTTTTAATACTCCCCTTTTTTACTTCATATTTGCATCTGTTTTTCTAGTTTAGTTTTGTGTTCACAGGAACCACAGCCATATTGATGAACAGAGTGTGATAGTGGGGAGAGAGACAAGATGTATTCATTGTGAAACAGTTTCCCCCAGACAGATGGACATGCTTATAGCTTTTGGATAAATATGCCTGCTTCAGGAGCTTAAAACACATAAACCTCCTGTGAGAGGCTCCCACCATGAAAAGATAGCATGGTTACAATTTCTAGCCATTTTCTGAATTGTCTGTATGTCAGAACAATATTCCTGCCTCAAACAATGTGGCAGCAGTGTTCTTCCATGGGTGTAACATGGAGGTTAAAATGTTGTACTGGTGTCTCTTCCACTTGTGCAGCAGATGAAATGCGCCACCCATGCTGAAATCTGGCAGGCTTGTGGCTTACATTTTCAGAATCCCTGAATCTGCTGTGCAAAGTGGGTTAAGAGGATCAATCTGGGAACCTGTGGAGGTGAGTCTAGTAAGCACCTTATAACCCTTTCAAGACAGTCAGTGTGCACAACACTTCTAGTGGGTGTAAGTGTGTGAGGGGAAGGCATACAAGGACTGCAGACCTGTAGTTTTCATGTATGCTTGCAACTCTGTATTTTTCCACTTGAGTCTGTGTCTACATAATTGTCGCACAAAAAAAATGAAGCATTGGACCAGATATATTGTGAAGACATCCCCTAGAACATGATCTTCTGAGATAGTGGGGCTGTCACTTTGGCATGCATCAGCTCTTACTTTGTGGAATGCAAAGTACTTTATTCTGAAGCATAGCTTGGAAGTGTCACCTGTTTGAGCATGTTGCAAAAATAAGTACTCTTGAACAGAGAGAGTGCCGATGCATCTCAAAGGCAGCAACGAGTCTCATGTTTGTAGAGGTACGATTTCCCAGCCGGAAATTGGAAAAGTTCCTTTTTTGAATTCCAAAACTGCCCATCCAACAACATAGAAGCATAGAACTGTAGAGTTGGAAGGGACCCCAAGGGTCACTGAGTCCAAGTCCCTGTCAATGCAGGAAATCCACAGCTAAATCATCCCTGATAAAGGGTCATCTGAACTCTTATTTCAAAACCTTCAGTGAAGGAGATTCTACCACCCACCAGGGTAATGTATTCCCCTGTTGACCAACTGTTTCTGTCAATAAACTCTTCCTGCTAGGGAAATTTTTCTTTCTCAGAATCTGAATCAATTACTTTAAGTCCTACCCTCTGAAGCCATAGAAGACACTTGTTCTGGAGCTTTGTGGGGGTTATAGTCCCGAAAAGAAACTTTTTCAAGTTCAAGGTCAAATATAGTTGTGTATACAGTTCTCTTTTCAAGCTGCTTATATATGGTTCCTAATAAGGAACTAAGAATTGATTCTGGTCTTGTTCTTGCTTCTGGATGAATCCTTCTTTCATTAGTTGACTTAGCCAGTGTTGGGTGGTGAATGATCTGGCGTTCTCTTTTCATTTGCTAAGAAATTTTCAAAAATGAAAACCTTCGGGAATGAGGAAGGTGTATTCATTCTAAATGAATCTTGTGACTAAGCCTTATTTTCCAGCTTCTTGAACAAACTGCAGCGAGTTCTAGAAATGACTAGTACTTGCCATCTGACTTACTGTGAGTCAAATGACCCATGCTGAGTTTTTAAGACATGCTGGGTGTAAGATGGCCAGTTACAAAAAAGGACAGGGTTCCCAAAATCTTTAACATTAAGTCAGGCAGTTTAGACCTGCTAAAAAGCCCTTTTCAACTATATAAAAGAGCACAAAAGCTGACCTGTTTCCTTTTCTGTTGGATCACTTTAGCGAGACAGAATGAATGTAACTCTTTTGAGGAGATCTTATTGGCAAGATCCAAGGAACAGCTAGGAGGCTTAAGCTTGAAGCTACCAAAATAAAGGCCAGCTGAGTTTGAGCCAGACATTCCTCTTTTTGAAAACTCAAGGTCAGGTTCAGTGATGGAAGGGCAGAAAGCAGCTGCAGGGAGTGTTTTTCAGGAATCCGACTTTAATGTTAATCGTTCTGACTGGAAGGATACTTGACATTTTTAAAAATGCAATTGTTTTTCTTTCATCAGATTGTAATATGAGCAAAGTTACAATGCAGTCTGATGTATATTTACTCAGAAAGAAATTCCATTGCAGTCAGTAGGACTTAGTACTCTTAATTATGTGTGCACAATACTGCAGTCTTAAACTTCGGGAGGCACTGGAATTGCTAGGATGATGACTGAGAGCTGCTTCAGATGAGATTATTTACACTCTGCTTTGAAGATAGTTACAGAAGCCATACGTGGTGTAGTGTTGGATGTCAAACACATGTGCAGATACTTGATTTCTTGATGTTTGCCAAACATGAGCATAACATAGACGTGAGCCAGCAGCAGAGGGCCAATATTTTTCTGATCGTTTGTTTGGGGAATGGGCACTTGTGTGTCAAAGGGTTGATTGCAGAAAAAAATGTATTCTTGCTTTATATTATTTTGTTTTTCTCTACAGTATAATGCTTTATATCTGATTACCTTGTTCTCTAGCAGGATTAGATCCTAGTCTATATACTCTGCATTCAACAGGACATAGTGTGCTTCTCCATAGCTGTGATAAAGTGCAGCTGTGCTATGGCTAATTCTATTCTGGGTTTTAGAATATACTGTATACTATTTCTCATCCCTCAGATGGAGAACCAGCAGTGAGCTGCCATAAACCTCAACAGAATCCATTCCTGCAATGGCCAAATTAACCTAGTTTCCCCCCACACCCCGCATGCCTTCTGGTGACTCTCAGACTGGTCAGAGATGAGAAGAGCTGTCATGTAAAACATCTGAAGGGCATCAGATTGGGAAAAGCTTTTCAGCTAAGCAATATTGCTTCTCATGATACTGTCAGAGGCGGCTTCCTCAGTATGCTTAATGGTAAAGGCAGTCATTGTCTCAGTTGTTCAGAGAGCATTTAAATGTGTAGGCACTGCCTCTGGGCAAGGAATTGGAAGCCAGACAGCCAAGAGTGAAAAACAGACCATGCCCTTGCTTAGCTCTCCAATAACAAGTGTCCTTAATTTGCTTTCAGCTCTTTCAACTGCTTAAATAGAAGAGTGTTTAGGAGTTCTAAACTGACAACTTTCATTTTGACCTTTTTCAGTGAATGTTATGTCCGTAGAGCTGTGATTTAAAACACCACAAAGATGATTTTGACTGTGAAGTCAGGGATGGCGGCAGTTCTCTTCTTGTGTTTGTGCTGCAAATTTTCAATATTGGGCTTGACGTACAAGTTTTGAGGGAAGCCTGTGTAAGCTGCTTGCTTTGGAATTCACAAACTCTGGGCAAGGTGTTTAGTCTAGGCAGGCCTAAATGAATGAAGTCACTTCTAAAAAGGGAAAACTTTCACTATTGAAAAGAACAAGAACCATACAAGAGAAGAGGTTCTCACTAATTTCCATTTGACAGTGACCATCGTTTTCTTGGTGGACTTCCCTTCTTTGGAGATTTCTTTTTTAAAGTTTGGATTGTCATTGGATTTAGTTGTGGATTTCCTACAGCAGGGAAGTAGGACTAAGGATCTATGAGTGTGTGATTCTTATTTATGAAAGGGATATTAGTATAAATGCCCTCCATGTGAGTTTAGCTGTGAAACCCAGACAGACTACAACTCTGGCATTCCTAGCCAGGATATGTTTGCTGGTTAGGGATTATGGGACTTTGAGTACAGGACCTTTCATTGCACAGCAGATTGGGAAAGGCTGTGAACTTTGTAATATGCATGGAGTAAAGCACTCCAAGTATATTATGTGTGTATTACGTGATACAAGTCACTTCCAGCTTATGACAACCCTAATATTGTATGAGATGTTCAAGGAATTTTGTTGTTGTTGACAACTTCCAATGAGTTTTCATGGCCAACTTCAGATTTGAACCCAGCTCTCTTGAGTCTGACATTGTGTCCACCACACCGTGCTGGCTTTCTAGTACAATATAACAAAGGTCAAGGAATTTGGCTTAACTATTGCAGAGCAGAGTGCTTTAAGCATTGTTTTTTTTCCCCAGAGCCGGGGGAAAATGAGCAGTATCCTGAATTTCCTTTGTAGCCATATGAGAGGGGGGGGTCTTTAGTGTTCCTCCTGCTGAGGAACACTAAATTTAACAAGCTCTGAATTTTGATTCAGATAATGGCCACTACACAAAAGAAGAAGATAGGTTTGAAGTGTGGCATCAGTGTTGAATTTACAAAGTAAATTACACTTTACTTTGAGAGACCTCCAAATAGTTTTTTTGAATTATACAAAAGTATAAGTGAAATATATAATTATTAATTTTTTAAAAAACATTGTTAGGATTTGGGGTAGTGTAGGAAGTCCTCTTAAATTCTGCCAAGTAGCAAATTCTGTGCCTGTATGACGTGGGTTCCATTTCCTCTTCCTTGCCTCACCTCTCTCCACCCCACTTTGTTGTATTATGGCTCACCAAAAGTTTGTTTTGTGGTCTGAATGGAGAGCTGTGCACTTTGATAATGAACTCATTAGGTTTATTTATCAAGCTAAAGGAAGTGTAGTTTTGCGAGCTCAGAGCCTGACCAGAGGCTTAGCACCACATGGCTTCCTGGAGGCTTTCCAGTCAATGCAGGGAGGCTAAATTTCTCATTTGTTCTCTCTCCTCTGTGCTGTTCAGTATTTACATACCTCAGCTCCACAGCTGGCTTCCATCTGGCTGCTCAGATCTCAAGGATTTTTTTTATCCCTTGTCAGCTTTGAAATAGAGGTTTCTTTTTAACTTCACATTACAGTGTTCCTGACTGCTTTTATGGATTTTTCTTTAGTCTTTTAGGAATCTAAATTGGTGACATTTTCATTAATTACACATTGTTGCTGCTTCTTGCTGTCTGTGGGTGGGCAAGGCGGAGGCAAAGAAGCAATCTATCTGCACCCCATTTGTGATCTCCTGTGTCTTGATCGGACACTTCCCAAATGATGTGCTCTGGAAATGCCGAAGATTGAGTGTTAGCAAGAATGTTTTGGTAACAGGAGGAAGAAAAAAGAATGGCTTGACGAAGGAAGCACAGGAACAGAATAGGGAATTACCTCTCTGTCAGCCATCTGAGTGAGGGTCAAACTAAATTACAGAAATCGCATCCTTAGAAACTGGAATATCATTATTGTTCGAAAGTTGTGATTATAGTGGACCTTCATACCTGAGCAGTCATAGTTGCAAATAATGCTTGAGCATGAAGGCAAATCTAAATGTATGTATGTATGTATGTATGTATGTATGTAGGTATGTAGGTATGTATGTAGGTAGGTAGGTAGGTAGGTAGGTAGGTAGGTAGGTAGGTAGGTAGGTAGGTAGGTAGGTAGGTAGGTAGGTAGGTAGGTAGGTAGGTAGGTAGGTGGTGGACCGTTTCTGCAGACAAGTAAACCACTTTCTCTGATCTATGTGTAGTTAGTATAGCTTTTGGATTCTTTTCAAAGAATGCAGTTCTGAAGAAGTAGATATTTTTAGAAGTGACTTTACATGACATGAATGAAATATCAGGAGATTTGGGGAAAGATTTTTAAACCTATTTCTTCCTTATTATTTGTCTGCATAAAGCAGCAAAAAGATCGAATCTGTGTCCATATTTTGATGGAATGGATCTAGTAAGGATTTGGGCTGGGAAATATTTGTTGGTGTCGGAGATGACATTTCACAGCAGAAGCAGCTGCAGACTGAATTAGACTTGATGCCATTTATTCATTTAGCAGGAATGTTTTTTAAAAATTAAGTAGCAAATATAAGTTTGTGGGGGGCAATGATTCAGAATTGGACCTTTCAGGTGTGAGGGTACAGGAAATTTTACCTTTGGCTTCCTGTCAATGTCTTGATCTGGACTGTGGAAGAGTGCCGGTTATTTACATGGTGGCAGGTTTGCTTTGGAATAAATGGGTGCTTTTGGCTAATACTGGACTTGGTAAACCAATAAATCTGTATGACTCAGTATCTGGCAGCTTTTTATGTTCCTAAGGTTGGCTGACTATTGCTATTCAACCTTTCTGGGCAATGGTTGCAGAGCTGAAAACGAGTGGGAAACCAGCATTGGCTGAGTACCTGTCACAGGACCTCATCCTATAGTTGCTCCACAGTACATCCCAGAATGCTTATATTATCTGTGTGTAGTTGGACCAGATTATATGGAAGTAATTTGTTTATGTATAAACAGCCAAGTTCAGCACAGCTATGCATTTCCAGGCATTCACTGCCTTCCTTTGGGATAGTGGAGGGAAGACATTTCAGAGGTCAAAATGCATCTTCACGAAGATTACTAAAAGATACAAGATATAGTTTCTTAGATCAGAATTCTTCTTTCACCAGCTTTGTACCAACTGTTTACTCAAACCATGCTGTTTCTTCCTATAGGTATAACATGGGGTAAGGTTGTATCTCTCTATGCTGTGGCAGCGGGCCTTGCTGTGGACTGTGTGAGACATGCCCAGCCAGCCATGGTCCATACCATTGTGGATTGCTTGGGTGAATTTGTACGCAAGACCTTGGTGACGTGGATGAAGAGGAGAGGAGGCTGGGTAGGTAGCACTATGGAGAAAGTGTGGCCATATCAGTTTGCTGTTGTCCTGTCACTTCTATGACCCCTCATGATCTGCTATGATGGCTAGAGATGATGGGAGCTTGCAGTTCAGCAATACCTGGAGAGTAAGATGTCTGTCATCTCTGCTGCATAGCAGTGTTAATGTACATTATGTGAATGTGATTGTACTGTTGGCCTAAATGAAATCAGAATGATCTCATGAGTTTCCTTTTATGGAGCATGGGCAGTCAAATCTTCCATCCACCTCATCCTGCCCTTATTCTGATTATACTGGTTTTGCAGCTCTGTATAGCTTTGCGACTGATCTGCAGCAACCCTGACTATATTTGCCATCAAGGCTCCAACCCAATGCCACTCACCTAGTTTGCTCTTGCCCTGCTAAAACCTCTTCTGTGAATCTAAAGCTAATGCTTTGAAGGCATGGAGAGCACACATGATTAGAACTGCTGCTTTACGGGCTACAAGAGGAACATATATGGGGAACTCTGGCTCATCATGTCTCACCTGATACATGTGTACATTGATGTTACCTTTAATTTGACTGACATTTTTTTTCTTAGTGTATTGTCTGAAGTTTTCTAAGTACACGATTACAGTTACATTAGAAGAGCATTTTAATGAAAATCTCATACCAGCTGATCTGTAGTTCTCAGAATAGTTCATAAATTTTTCCTTAGACCAGGCTTGGCCAACTTTTAAAGATCTTTTTGTTTGTGGTTTTCAACCTTTGGTCTTCCATATGTTTTAGACTCCAGTTTTAGTAAGTCCTGCCCCTTAACCACGTTGGCTGAAACGTTTGGTAGCAGAAGTCATAAACATTTGGAGGCCCAATGGTTGAGAACCATTACTTTAGGCCAGGCATGTGCAGGACTGCCGCCTTCTAGATTCTTTTTTGTTGTTCATGTTGGCACCAACAAGAACAACAAAAAAGAGCCACCAGTGCCAACAAGCTGGATAGCACCAGTGCTAGTCAGGATAATCAGTGGTAAGCGATTGTGTGAGATGCTCTCCAGAAATATCATAATGGCCATAGTAGCCTAATCTTGCTCTAAGTTTAAATGTATATACTTTTTGGAAATGTATTGTGTCATATATTAGAGATGTGCATAAACCTCAGTTTGGAGGTTTGTGCTGGTTTGTACACGTGGCCCCACATATGTATTTTTTTTTCTTCCTTCGTCTCCCTGGCTGGATCCCCCACTCACCAGATGGTTTGCTCTCCTCCCTTCCTCCTCTTCGGCTGTTTGACTAGTCTCTAAAAGAAACACAGGCTTCCCTGGTCTGCCTCCTTTACTAGTTGCCCACTCAGACAAGGAGGCAAGACAGGCAAATCCATGTTCCTACCAAGGATTGGTCGAATAGCTGAAGAGGAGGAGAGGAACATGCTCCAACTGGTGAGTGGATCATTGGCTGGGGAGCCATGGGAAAAGAATGTACAAAGGGAGCATACAAACTGGCACAAACCTCTGAACTGATGATCATGCCCATCTCTAAGTTTAAATGTATTAATCCAAATCTTATTATGCATTCACAGCTGTATAATGATCTTCCTGAAAATCTCAGCAGCATACAAGAGCAAAAGGCTTACATTGACCTCTTAAATGGCAGTGATTCATGCCAAGATTCACATTGATTGTGATATGCCAGTGTGCTCTTTTCCTTGAATGTTGCAGGTAAAAAGATATTTATAAATGGCCTGTGACCTTTTGGATCTTACTTACGACATATGTGTGGGTTGTCCTGGATAAGAACATGTGGGGGGAGGACATATTAAAATCTAGTTTGTGGTGCTGCGTTTTGCATGTAAAGCTATGTGCTGAGAATGACACACTTCTGATTTTAATTTTAATTGCTTTTTAAATTTTCCCTCCCCTAGACTGACATAACAAAATGCGTGGTGAATACTGATCCCAACCTTCGGTCCCATTGGCTTGTGGCTGCCATTTGTAGCTTTGGTCACTTCCTAAAGGCCATCTTCTTTGTGCTGTTACCCGAAAGATGATGTTCAGTGGCCCAGTGAAGCCCCTTCTTTTTCTCAAGGACACAGCTTACACAGAGAAGGGGAAGAAATCAGAGGAAGAGAGGCCATCAAATTTAGATCCCACTCTTCTGGCTTCCCTATCTGCCTCATTGAGAAGACTCTTTTCTTCCACAATGGGAAAACATTTCTTCAGCTCACTTCCTGCAGCCAGCACCCTTTGCACTTTGAGAGTGCCTTTGGATTGCATTCACAAGTTTGGAAGACTTGCAGGCTTGCTGATTAGTTATTTATTTGTTTTCTCTTCTACAAGTTGTTTCATTTTTATGCATGTAAAAAAGAAAAGTATGCAATCATAGTTGGAGCTGCTGTTGAAAGAAAAAAGACTCCATTTCTACTGTATCAACTGCTTCATTTTCAGATTGTCACATCCTTCACTAAACCTTATTCCTCAAACCCTTGATTAATGAGGTAACATGGAAAGTTTCTCTAATAGGATGACATTTTTATGATTACCTTAAGTGACAGAATCGCCATAACTGCTTTCTAAGGGGAGTGGGACAGGCACAAATAAGAGATCTGTCTACCACATTTTACTGTTTTCTTACCTAGGATGGGGAGAATCCAGGACATAGAATTTGGAATCCAGTAAAAATCTCTGAAAGGAACAAGTAGTTAAGGTGAGATACTAGAGATCCCATTAGCAAAATGTATCCATGAGGCAAATACAAAGAGCTACCAGTGGGTTGTATCCTCTACAGTGCAGTTACCCTGTACACAAAGTGTGACTTTTACTTCTGTTGTGGTAATAAAATGCTGATTGAATATTTTACTGTATGATCCTGAGACCTTTTCTAAAGGGAGGCAATGCATAAAACTGCCGGGTGAAGACTGATATTTTAAATGTCATCTCTGGGTGTAGAATACTGAGCAGTGGGACAAAACAACTTGGGTGGGGGGTGAAATGAACTATTCCGGAAGGCTGTATGGTGAACAGGAACCCTGAGTGGGAGGCCACCACACTGTAACCATTCTCTTCCTCTAGTCTAGTAAATGTTTGTGCAAAACCTAGGAGAACGAAAGGGAATTCTGCTACGTATTTTAATTGCAGTGAAGGCTAGCTTGGGAGAAGTAACTAAAGAAGCAAATTCTCACCATTTGCGGTCCACCAAGTAATGTTACATCCACTTTGAAGTCTTAATGGGGATGTGAGTGGCTTGCAGTTCACAGGGAACCTCTGAAAAGGAGAACTGACTTGGCACTGGCTTCATACTTTTGAGCACATAAAACTTGCCTTCTGTGCTCCTAGAAGCAGGAAAGCAGAAGTAGGCGTGGCACGGCTCAACTGTCACCCACAAAGTAGGGGCTCCTCCTGTGACAGGCATGGACCCCCTCCTGACATCAGCCCCTGAATGAGATGGTTCTGTCACAGGCTGCCTCTTGTAGGAGCAGAGGGAAAACAGCAAAGCACACATTTCTTGATCTTTCACCTTTTTTGCTACAATATTAACATAAGAATTTGCGGAGAGGTTTGTCTCTATCTTCCTGCTGTGGGATTCATGAAAAATGACATATATGTGCCTCTAATTCCTGCACACCGCTAGTCCGTCCTCTTCAATCCATATACAGTAATCATTTCCAGGTTTCATTGATTCTCAGAGGCCAACAACTGATGGCAGCAAGTTGCATGCAGTCTCCTCCTTACCCTCAGGGCTTATTCTTCCACAAACATGGCCCTGAAGGATACAATTTAATCTAGAAGGGGTGTGTGGGAGCATCATACTAAAGCTTTGTCTGTTAGGAGTTTCATTTCTGGTGAAAACTGCCTCCTTTAGTTGTTTTTGCTCTTGGTCGAGAGAAGAAAGATAAGGTAAACTGTGGCCTATACAGAGAAGAGCACCTAGGATGCATGTATAATTTTTTGGAGGGGAAATTTTTTTTCTTCCTTCCCACTGTTCCCTCTTTAGATTTCAGCTTCCAAGGCAGCATTTTAGCCACTGTGGTCTAAATTAAAAGCTATAAGCAGCACAACATTTTATATAGCACAGCTCTCTGAAAAGCCAGTATTCCCTTTTTTGGATGGAGAGCAGATTGGGTTATGTAGGAGCAAGATACAGTAGTTTCACTGGACCCTAATTAAACCAATGGGATCAACAGCTATACCGTGCAATGACTCCTATTAGCTACAACCTCAGCCAGCAGAGCTGATGGTGAAGGCTTCTGGGAGTTGCAGTCCAAAAACATCTGCGTAACAAAGGTTAAGAATCAGTGAGCTACAACAATATATGGCACTCATGCATCAAGGTGAGGCTTTTATTACATAGTTGCCCTATCTCACTCGCAGAATTTTATCAGTGGGAGGTATTTTGCAGACCCATGTGTCTCTGACTGAGTTTTATCTGCCATTGCCTCTGGAGCCTTTTCATTTTTTAAAAAACATTTCTCTCTTCATTGCAGTTAGCTGATTAGGTTAGTGCTCTGACAATAGATGGGCAGGATAAAAATACAATAAATAAAATATCATTCACAAGGCAATGCCCATTTTCTCCCATTGGGTTTTTTTCTTTCCACAAAAATTTGAAAACAAGCCAAACTCATTACATAGGAAAAAATGCATGGCTGCACTATATATATATATATTAATATATTTCTCTGTTTAGCACTAGGAGTTATCTACCTAGAAACTGCCCATATGTTGTTGGGCCCTGACTGATCAACTGACTTATTTTCCATTTTCCAAAATCAGACATACAGTAGAAGACTGGATTTGTATCAGACAGAGGCATGAAGTATATCGATCTTTTTTCCAATATTGCTGTTTTCCTACTTATGTCACAAGCACTTAATACAGGGGTGAAAATATACAAGCCTATTGTATTTTCTGTTGCATGGTTGGGGGCGAGGGAGAATAGTTACACTGTACCAACAAAATCAGTACCAAATTGTCAGTCGAAATCGACAGATCCTGCAGCGGCTTTTCAGAAAAGAAAGAGATCCAGTTATGAATCATTTACGTGAATATTTTGCTTAGTAAGGACATCAACACTGTAAAATATTCAGTAGATTTATTACCTCAGCATCCTCTCTGCTAAGCCTCCATCATGCTGATTTTCAGACAGGCTTAATAAAATATACTGGCAGTTCCTGGCTCATAAATGACAGTAGTAATTTGTCATTGCTAACAGCTTCCTGTGTATGGATTAATCACTCACTGTACAGGCTGGGGTGAAAGACAGGAATGAAGGTCATGCTCCAGAGGAAATTTGAGACTCTGGGCTAAACTTTCTCATTAAAAAGCAGACATTTCTAGTTGCATATACTGTAGTACAGTTGGTCAATGATACTATTGTTATATTTAAAAAACAGTTATACTGTGGTATACCTAAATAATTTCATAGTGAAGTAAGTAGCTGCTTCACTATTTTAGGAGTGGCCAACATTTATGACCTAAAAGGATTGTATGTGAAACCAGCTGATGGCCAGGGACTACATATGTATGTTGCTCACCAATGCTGTATTCTATTTAATTTAAAATACACTCTGATAGTGGATGTATATAAGTTATTTTGGCTGAGCCTGTGGAGAGATGTGCCTAGGACAGTTTGACCCAATCTAGTGGTCCCCAGATAAATTTAATTGCAAATCCCATCATTGACATGATGCCTGTGAAAGTTAAACTAGATAATAACTGGGCATGTTTTTTCAATTGCTTCCTCAAATAGCAGAAAGATATATATCAGCATCCAGTTTTCTTTAACAATATGTCTTGTATTTAGGATGTTAAGTAAACATGATCCCAATTTGCAAGTGTGCTGAAGCATGTATCTTGAATTAAATCCTGTTGTAGGAGGGGAAATTTGCTAATCAGAGGAGATGCACATTTCTTTTGTCTTCTAGTTTGACCCTAAGAACAATGTCATGGTTCCTCTTTTCCTGCAGCTTGTGTAAGAGGGAATTCACAAAGTCCTTATGCAAGAAGAAAGCCCCACTGCTTTCAGTGTGCAATTCCAAGCTGGAGCAGATGCAAAGTGCTTCACCTGAAGAACCACTGCATCCTGCGTTTGCAACAGGAGTTCACCTTGAGTGTGTTAGGGAATTGCAGGCAATAGATGTTGGGATTTAACACCAATCATCTCTCTGCAGCCCTCTCACTCATCACTTGAGACAAAACAAGGAGGCATGATATACTTCTATTGATTTTGTTTCTTGCAACATTCTTATGTCACATGTGTTCATGTACTAAGGAAAGCTCTGTTGTGTATGGAAGCTACACATATGTTCATAATATTTCAAGCTTTCTCATTAACATTTCAAAATACTTAGGTTTGCAGCATACATATATCTGTTCATAGAATCAAGATTCTTAACCAGCCATGAAGCAACTGGAATGTTATTATTCTTGATAACCATGAAAGATTAACCAGATTAAGCAACAGCAAAATGTTTTTTTTCTCTTGACAATTGTCCAATTTTGCTGGCATTCATTCATTCTTAAAGATTTTGTCTCATCCAAGAACAAGAAGTGGAGAATTCATGTAATCAAACTGACACATGAACACAGATGTTGACCCACAGTGAATCTGGAGAGCCTGAGTGATCATATGACTGTGACCAGCCTGAAACCCATTTCACATTTACATCTGCCCACTTTTGGAAGCTCTTAAATACTTAGTAAGCATAACCTATGCCTATACATAAAAACCCCCATCACACTCAACACAACACAATGATTCTACTTGATCCATTGCATTCCTGTTTTCGTCTCATTGTCCTGCACATCCTCCTGTAAAACATATCTAATGTGGTTTCCTCAAAACATGTTCAGGGGTGGGGGAGAGGGAAAAGATCTCTTTCATATGGGAAAGTGAAATAATGTACTTAGTATAGTACCAGTTTAAACATCTTTTCCACCAAAGCTAGAGAAAATGAACAGATTACCATTAGTTGCTGCTGAAATGCTTTTTTTTTTTTTTTTGCTGGAGGGCAGAACCACCACAATTAGAGGGTCACAATAAGGGATAGGGCCATTTAAGATTTAATGACTTGCATAGTGCTTCACTATGAGATTACTTATATTACCTGAATACTTTTAGAACTCTGGATTTTATTTGCTGATAGCTGTTAGCAATAAAATGTTGGCCTTTTTAAAAATGAAAAGATGGGCTAACAAGTTTAACACACAAACATAATTCTGCTTCATTCTGTTCACTATTGTATGTTTCCTGATGATTTATTGAACAGTCTTTCCTCCATCTGAGTATTTGATGTAGTGACACACAGAAGATGTAGTTTTTATCTCAGTTGTAGTCTCCATTACGCATCTTTGGGACCAGTGCAAGCTAAAAAAGCAATGGAAGGAGGAGCTCTTGTTTGAAACACTACCTCCTGTTCTACAGGATTTTAAACCCAATCTTGACAGTGTTCTGAATTCTCATTACTACTCAAGGAATTCATGAAATCAGGTAAGATTCTATGTCTACAGTATGTAGATATTATCTATCCATGTATACTCATCAGGTGAATAGAGGATTACACTAGCCCTGCTTCCTCTATTATCACTGCCATTGCTCTCCTTCATGTAGCAGACACGAATCGGAAGATCTCGGCTATTTTTAGGGGTTCTCCATGTGAGTTGGGCCTGTGATTTTCCCATAGTTCCAACTCACACAGGAATTAGTGGAGCTCTCCCTGTTCAGGCTCCTCTCTGTGTATAGGAAGGAAAAGGAACTGGGAACATTCTTTTTCCAGGGGAAGTCCTTATGGAGATAGTTCAGTCAAGGAGATATTCCTTTTTCCCTGCTTGTTTCATACAATTATTAACAAGTTCTAGCTCTAGCTTGCACGTAAAGATGTCTATGGGGGCCTTTCTTGGCATAAACCTACATTTGCAAAGCACTAAATCACTTAAAGAAAAATTAAAAGACTGAAATTTCCCATTCATTTCCCTCACATCATAACCTTTCATTGTTGCTAATACATTCATTCCTAATGGAACATATTATACCATTCAAAGTCACGCCGTTAAAAATAAAGGCTTTTTATTGGCTTTAGTTTTTTTTAAGTCTACCATTACAGAAACATCAGAATAGACTCCTTCAGCAACTGCAGTTTCCTTGTCAGGAGTGAAATGGGCAGTGAAGATGCAAAGTCACTGTGTTATGTTTTTAAGCTGCTTCTGTTCCCTCCACCATCCTCTCCACACAGTGTCTTTTTCTTGGCTTCAGTGCCTCTGTGGTGAAGGAATTCCCCTTTGTTTTAAGGAGTTACTTTCTTATAGGTGATGTGAAGGTGCTGAGTCATTGGCTGTGTAGTGGTTGCCATGCAGACAGTCTGTTCTAGTTTTCCATCTGAATTGAGCCTGAATTTCCTAGTAATCTAAGAGGATAAATTAAAAAAAAAAACATGGTTTATTATCTGATCCTGTTTATATTTCAAGAATGAAATCAGCAGTGAATTAAACCATGAAAAAAGGGGCTGGGCAAATCCAACTCCTTCCTCAGAATTGAAAAGTAAATTTTCCATCACAAAAAAGCACAGACAAAATATGAACCATTTCTTAATTCCTCCTTTTCTCTAAATACAGAATGTTATTTTGGGACAAATGGCATCCTCCATAAATTCAACAAAAGATAAATTACTGGAAGAAAAATGGAGAAGCTGTTATTTCACAAGAATTCCGTCCATGCTGTACATTAGGATCCTGCCCTCTGTAGAGCTGAGGAAGAGCTAAAAAAGAAGGAAAGAAAGAAAGAAAAAGGCATACTGGATACAAAATTCTGGGAATTCTAGTCCAAAAAGTGTGTGTATGACTCTGGGCACTGTAGTCCGAAAAGAACTTTTCCAAGGACTGACTGAAGACATAGGCACCCTTAAAAATAGAAATGGCTCAACCTTTCAACAGAATTCAAAATGGAAACACACACAAATACCAAAACAGTAAAAGAAAACAAACAAGCTGACAAATGTTTGTGACCTTCTTGCTCAGCATCATACTGGTACCTCATCTAAAAACTGCTCCTGTTCCTGATTTGCTAAGCCAGATTTAAACAAAGTAAGAAAATCCAAAGGGAAATCCATAATAGAAGCAAAATACTCTGGGAAATAGCATTAAAGGAGAGGGTAAAGAAAATAATTTAGGATTCAGTAGCAGGACCTGGCCCCACACAGATTGTGACCATGCAACGAGTTTGCCTCATCGGAGCACAGCTTGGCGATCCTCTGCAAACAGGCCTTTCCACTTATGTTACTGAAAGATTTCTGTACATAAACCAAGTCACTGTGTATGTTAGTCAGTCCCCTTTGCTCTTTTGCCATAGTTACCATCCTTTGGAAAGGAGAGTGGAAATAAAATATCCAGGCCTGTAGGAACCCTGCCCAAGAAACATAGCCAAAGCTGCTTTCACTGAGTGTGACTGTTCAAAAGAATAACAGAAAGAATTATTCAGTACAGAGCAATCATAACAAAAAAACCTAATTAATCAAAACAAAAAAAACTCCAAATCAATTAATACAGCTAAAGCTAACTCATAAATCACAGGAACCATATCCTGTGAGAAAACACACAAGAGTCAAATGTATTTCTTATCTATATGAGGACGTCTATGGAATGAACTACCTTCCCCCTCTTAAAAACAAATAACTGAAAAATACCATTTTAATATAACTACTCAGAAACTGCCAGATAAAGGTAACGGAATATAAAGGAAAAGAGAGTATTATGGTATTGGGATGCTTCATTGACTAGAACACCAGCAGCTGCTGGGAATATGCTCTTCCCCACCCAGCAAGAATTGCAGAGTTTTCTTGTGGTTCTAGAAATCCTCCAGGGAAAAACGGCCCGGTTACCAGCTAGAATAGTGGCTCTCAACCTTTGGTCCTCTATGTTTTGGACTTATACTCTCAGAATTCTTCATGTTTGCCCACATTCTGGGAGTTACCGTATTTTTCGCACCATAAGATGCACTTTTTTCCCACAAAACAGGGAGGTGGAAAGTCTGTGCGTCTTATGGAGAGAAGAAAACAGATTATATTTTCCTGTTTTCTTCTCCTAAAAAATTGGTGCATCTTATGGAAAGGTGCGTCTTATGGAGCGAAAAATACGGGTAATGTCTAAAACATCTGGAAAGCCAAAAGTTGAGAACCACTGAGCCGGAGGAAAAAGAGGTGCTAGGAATTAAACCAGCTCCTGTCCAGTAAAAACATTTTAAAAATGTAACTATTTAAGCTACTCAAAAGCCTTTGGAATGGAACAGGATCTAAACTAAATAAGCAAACCTGTTACTATGGAGCTTATTTATTCCAGGTCTAGGAACTGATTAAGATTAAAAAAATTTTTATTTACCAAGATCTTCATACTTAGAAAGATAAATCTTGAACACACAATACTATTCATCACACTTTTCAAACAACATGTTTGGAACAGCAACTCCCAACATTTGACTATGTTTTTGATGTGTTTGGGTGGATGAAGAGACTTGAACACACTGTCATGGGAAGTTTATCATACTTTAACTTGGGTTTATAGTGCATTAGAATAATTAATAGACAAGTCAGGTTTTGTATGGTCATAAGTACGGAAAGGCTCTTAATGGTCTGGAAAAAGAGTGGATCTTCTGACAAAAATAGAAGAATAGTTATTTGAAATCAGAATGAAAAGCCATTTCCAGTGATGGTTGCTCAAATCACATTTCTTGCTACTATCTATGACTTTGCCAGCCCCTCATTTACATAGACAGCTGTCCCAGGATATGTTCCTTACCAATATAAATTGCTTCTCTGGGAGTTTGTTTTACTAAGTGTTTTTTTTTTAATAACAGCAAACCTTGATATCTCTCGATGCTACATTTTTTCAGCACCATCTTGTGACTACCAGGAAATGAACAGCAGTGTAAGGGAAAATCATTCCTGTTTCTTTGTCAAAACTGTTACTGACTGCAAACTACAAGCAAGCAGTTTATATAAGAAGTTAGCTCCATGGTACAAAAACATACAAACTATTTTAGTATCATACATTTGGCAGTAGTAAGCAACAAGAATATTAGAGGCTCAAAGTGTTTGTAGATGGGCAGTTAACCGTGGAAGGCTGAGCACACAAAGGACCTTAATAAATATTAAGAGTACTGTATCTTTTGTGTTCTGGATTTGTGGGCACGTGTGTCTCCGAGGATCGCAACATGGACTTTTTATTTACCATCTAGAAATAGACTGGATGTAATGACTTCCCTTATGCTAAGCAACAGAATTTAAGCCACTATGATGAGCTATTATTATGCAGATCCACCTATATTCAGTGTTAGTTGTTTTTGACTTATTTTTCCAGTCATAGAATAATCAGAGTTCACCAACATTGGCCATTAATATTTTCTATATTTTTCTAGTACTCAATTTAATTCCCTTCAGCTAGTTCACATGCTGAAATTTCCTCTTCAAGTCAACTATTAAAAGATACAGACTTTTGACCCTTTTTTTTCACCCTCATTGTGGAATGGAGGTGACCCTGTGTTCTTCAGGACTGTGTTCAATTGAATATGCATTATGGTAAGTTGTACCAGGCTGGTAAGACTTTGACTAGGGCCACCACAGGCTGTATGTGTTATCTGGTGACGAGCCTAGTTACTACAGAGTGGTCGTATAGACCAGAGTGGTCGTATAGACCCGCCTAGAGTGGTCGTATAGACCAGATGGGCGGGTATAAATCAAATAAATAAGATAAAATAAAATAAAATAAATAAATACAGAGAGACCTGTTGTCAAAAAGATGGCACCACATGATGAATTGGCCAGAGCAATTATGCATGGAATAACTGCAATCCACAATCAATGTAGAGAGAGATCATCGAAGTATATTGCTCTTTTGATATATGCTTTTGCCAAATGACAGACAGCAATGCTCAAGATCTAAGGTATTATTCCTCACCAGGAAGTATTTGTTCTCTTTGCAAGAGAGCTTAGCAGAGCAAACACATTCTTTAGATTAAAAGGAACACAATAAAATTAATGAGAATGGCCACAAAATGAACTTTCAACAAACTGTTCTGTTTTGGTCTTGGTTCCCCCCCTAATATTTCATTCTACTGTGGGATCTGTGCCATTTTGCTCTACTGAGCACTTGGTAGGAGAAACAGAACAAGAGCAGCAAAACACCTGAGAAAACCTCAAGAGCTAACACATGGTAGAGAAATGTGTGAGAAAGATACTAACTTTACTCTCTGTAACAGTGAATTGAGCAGTCAAAATCGCCCATAGGAAAACAGTTTTGCGAAGCGCGGACCCAGCTGTCAAAATTGCTGCCTTGAGAAAAACCGTCCCTAAAAAAATCGTTTTGCGAAGCACGGACCCAGCTGTCAAAATCGTCGTCTTGCGAAAAACCGTCCCGGAAAAAAAAATCTTGTGAAGCATGGACCGAAACATCATCTAGCGAAAATCGCCCATAGGGAAAACCATTTTGCGAAGCGCTACAGCAATCGCAAAAACCCATCGTCTTGCAAATTTATCATTTTGTGAGGTAATTGTCTAGTGAGGCACCACTGTATTTCTGTTTGGAAACCTGTTTGAGCTACCTGATTTAAAACAGCCAGAGGCTGTACAAGTGCATATTTCTCCTTCCTGGCTAGACACAGAGCTATGAACTGTTAACATTAATTCTGCTTCCCATGACACCACTCTGCTTCTCATTGTATATCTTGGCCATATCAATGCTATCCTATCACATTCCAATTAAACCACACAGTAAGTCAATGGTTTGTATTACATGACATAGGAGAGAAAAATTTGCCCTCAGGAATCCTGTGGCTGCTTTAATTTAAATATCTCCAAAATACATCATAACAGTCATGTGATTTTGGGTTAGGCTGGTAACACATCCTCTTGATCTCTGCTCTTCTTGGCTTCTGAAATCTATGAGGATGGGTTGACTAGGTGAATAGAGGAAAATACCTCCAGTGTGCATGGGTAGTGTGTATCTGCAGCTATTTGTGAAGCAGTGATGCACCACTTCTTGTAAAGACAATGTGTAGGATTTTAGATTACAATAAATTAGTTGCTAATATCCTGTCATAAATTAAAGTGATCAAGACAGTGGTGTTGAGCCCATTACAGGCACGTCCCCTGTGATTCCTTTAAAGAGTTTGGCCCATGGGGCTGTTACTTCTAGCACGGCCTTCTCAGTGGTGGTATCCTGACTGTGAAGCTCTAAATCAAATATTTGACCAGTCTACCTTGTGTTATCATGTGGACAGTAATCAATCTGATTTAAATGAATTGCCAGAGACAGAATTTCATAGCTATTTCTCCGGCTTCCAGAATTCCCTATCTTCACCTGGTAGATAGGGGTGCCTGTGCAGCTAAAATACCATTTGGGTGTGCATGCACTGCCAACTTACCAGCTCAGGATAATCTTTTATGAATTTTGTGCATAGCTCCAATGCAAGTTCCTAGATGGAATTTTGTTCTAAGTACCACAGTATGTGTCCTCTTCTGAATTGCTAAAGAGCTCCGAAACACTACTACTGGGAAGAAGCTAGGCTAAGGTCTGTAGAACAGAACTATACTTGGGTGGCAGCACCATTCTCCCATAGCGACCAAGCAAACAAGGCACTAATCCTCTTCTTGTAGCTGTCAACAAGTTACCAATGTATCTCTTTAGATGGGCATTAGCGTATTGGATACATATTCTGCATGGTTATGAAGCAACTAGACTACACATAAGCATACTCACTTGCTCTACATGGGGTTTCTTAGCAAAGGAGATCCTTGCTACTGAGTGAGATGCTATAGAGAGCTCCTGTCCATTTACTTCTCCCTCTTCCACCTCCACCAAACCTAGATCAAGAAGAGAAGATTTTAATACCACTAAGATTCATAAAACTATGATACCTAAAATAGTACTGTTATAGTTATGTCCTGTCAGGTTTCATTTGACTTATGGCAAGTGCAGCCATGACCTATGAATGAACAACCTCCAGAACATCCTGTCATTTACAGCCCAGTTGAGACTTGCAAACTCAAGGCCATATTCAGGTCTTCCTCTTTTGTTACTGCCTTCTGCTTTTCCTGCTATTATTGTCTTTTATAGTGAGTCATATCTTCTCATTATAGGCCAAAGTACAATCGATTTTGTTCAGCTGTTTTATAAAACTGTAATGCTGGTCTATAGTAAGACAAAGAAGTAGGCAACAAATTACTTTTCAACATCTTTCAGGAAACCCTGATTTAAAACAGAGATTAAAGAAGAAACTAATATAATTAGGCTTGTACCTGTGTTCTGAGCACTGATGAAGGCCACCTTATTAGTGTCAGGTTTGATGCGGATAAATCCACATTCTCGATGCATTGGCTTTCTGGTGTCTGGATGGAAGGCATTGAATCTGTTAAAATATGAGGATGTTAAAATTACCAAGCCTTGGCAAACAAATACATCACACAAGCTAGAAATCACTCAACTGTTTTTATACTATTTGCATGAAGGGAATACAAGCTGTATTTCCATACATCTTCTCCACAAATAGTAAAACTGAAGCCCATTTAAGAATAGACATTTTTTGAATTGTTTTTCCTAGATGACTGAAGACAATGCATTGGTCACATTTTCCTTTATCTGATATTTTGTACAATGCTTTTGACTGTGCCCCTACAAGTTTGCCTGGCTAACTGCACAAAGAAACACAGAACTGTATGAGTCTATATAGAGCAATATGATAGAATGCCCTGTTTAGGTATTTTGCTGGAATTTCTCTTGACCCTTTGAACCAATTCTTAAACAATTAAACTGCCAAAGTGTGCTGGTTCCACACACAATCGATCCAAAGACTGCCAAGATAAATTTTCCACCACAACCTCACTGGTCCATCTCCAGATTTATACTACTGAATAGTTTCCTAGACTGCCTTTCTTCCAAAGCATAAGCAGCTTCTCAGTTCAGACTCTAATAGTTTTAAAGGCCAAATCAAGTGTTATTTTAAAACCCAACCTTGCCCCCTCAAGCTAGTTTACTGGACTCAGTTTCCCCCATTAGTGTAAATCTGTATCTCAACTGAGTAACTCAGCAAAAGTGGTTTATAGCTAGGATACTCATGCAACCTAGTGCTTTCCAATGTACATTAATGTGACCACTTTTTAAAGTGGGGCTGGGCAAAGTAAGGTCTTCAGGCTGCATGTGGCCTCCAAAACATTTTGCTATCCTTTACAAGGAGGGCCTGGCGTGTTCTGGTCCATGGGGTCACAAAGAGTTGGACATGACTTAATGACTAAACAACAAAATACCGAGTTAAAAAATAACCACAGAAAATCGGCAGCAGAACTTGCATGTAGACAGAGTTCTGACTCCTGCCCTCTGAAGATGCTGGCCACAGAGACTGGCGAAACATTAGGTAGAAAAACCTTCAGAACACGGCCAAACAGCCTGAAAAACCTACAACCACCGTTGCATGTAGCTTCTTTGGTTGTGATTGTGTTTAACCATTTATTTAACCATTCTACAACAATTTTCTTAAACAGTTTGAAGATGAAGTTATTTAACTTGGTTGTTTTAAAAAATCTTCAATCTTCCAACTGTACTTGCCAGACTGAGATTGCCTGCCTGCCTAACTGGATACTGCCTGCTTCATTCCCTCTCCATGCTTAGGAGATTCAGAGGTGGAATTCTTTCATGCTGGGGCTGCTGTTTCTCACTGTCTCAGCAAAGTATGTGCTAATGTTTTGAGTTTTAATAACACATTTTTTAAAACGCAGGGATTAGTAAACATCTGATGAACTAAGGATGATCTTGGTTATCAAGCAATGCCATTCCTATAATGGAAAAACAGCTGAAACCTTAAATTAATTTCCTAATTATGTGTGCATTAATTAATTATGCTTGGAATGCAGTTTAAGAATGATTTTTCAAAAGAAAATATTTAATATATTTTAAAAATACAAAATGAAATAAATTATGACCCTATTAATGCATTATTAAAAACATGTATGTTTAAGGGGGGATGTATGTATATATGTATGTATATCTTCCCACACATTGAGTAGTCTGTCCCTGTTTTCAAGAATAATCATTAGTTTTTACAATATTCAGTCTTAAGGGAATGATTTCTTGGTACAGATAAGATCAGAGATTTTAGAGGAAACTGAGAAACAGGTAAAATGCAAAATCAAGAGTTTTAAAAATAATTATGTCGCTATTTGTTTACTAGTCATGCCTAAAAAACCTGAATTATTCAATGGTCTATACATCTGTGATTTTACGGCTGCTTAAGTCTTGAGAAAGACACTTAATTTGTGAGGCGGTTGTTTCAAAATATTGTTTTATATTTTCAAGAATGTTGTCTTTATAATGATTGTGTTTTCATTTCTTTCCTTCTTTTGTACATCACTCAGACAGTATAAAATAAGAAACAGAGTATTTAAGGGATACTCATCTCAAAAGTGCTCTAAAATAAGAAAACTCACGAGAAATTCAGCATGGGCTGGCCTACATGAGAGATGTGCACTTCTTCGAGGTATTGAAAGGGCTTCATTGTAGGGAAAGTACCATCTCCTGGTGGGTCTGACAGCCAGGTGCCCAGCATCCAGGAGAGAGGCTCAATCACAGGGTTCAGCTGTGGGGTTTCTATGGAAAGAGAGAATATCACACTGAGAATATCAAACTGAAGCAGATTTTCTGGCAACTAAAATTCGATTTCATGTCTTCAAGATTGATCATTAGGTCAAATCAATATGTTGGCATTTAATGGCCATAGTTGCTTGTAAATGTCTTTGGAGCACCTTGCATTTCATTTGTTGCTCTTTAAGCAACCACCTTCTCTCTTTCACACCCATATCTAGTGTATATATGTGTATGGTTTTCTGGTTTTCTTGCCTACATGCAAACTTTCAGATTAGATAATCTGAAAAACAAAATAAAATTTCTGTATCACAAAAAGGGTAGGAGACAGGAGAAAACAGTTTTTAGCAGACAGCTGCATGCTGACTCTCTGGCCTTCCTGATCAGAAGCTGTTACAGAGAAAAACTCTGAGTGAAGCAGGGGGACCTGGGTAAAAGGAATATTCCCTCCTTCACACCTTTTCCTTCAATTTAATTTCCAAAACTTTTGCTGGTCAATAACCATAATAAAACATTTATTATTATTATAATTTCCAAAACAAAAATCAACAGTCTGCCTTCCATATTCTTGAACATGATGGTGGGAAGAAACAGGGAGAGAAATACTGGTTTTTCCTAAACAGGGAAAAATGTTCAGGATACATATATTTCAGTTGAAAAAAATAGTAACAGTCAAAACTGCCCAGCAGTGGAGATCTGAAATTCTACTCCTGCTCCCATGTTTTCAGAATTTCCAAAACAAAAATCAACATTCTGCCTTCCATATTCTTGAACATGATGGTGGGAAGAAACAGGGAGAGAAATACTGGTTTTTCCTAAACAGGGAAAAATGTTCAGGATACATATATTTCAGTTGAAAAAAATAGTAACAGTCAAAACTGCCCAGCAGTGGAGATCTGAAATTCTACTCCTGCTCCCATGTTTTCAAGGAAAGATGTCTGGAACAGTCTAGTGACTGAAAAACAAATCATAGAATTCCTGGGTAAAACATAGTTTGACCTATGATTAACAAACAAACAAAAATTGACTGACAAGAAGGTAAGCATTTAATCTCATAATCAGTACTAGAGATGGCCATAAACTGCTGATTCAGCGGTTTGTGCCAGTTCGTATAGTGACTGAACAGATGTTTGGAACTTCCCAGTCCTGCCTCCTCCAGCAGTTGCCCACTCAAGAGGCAAGGCTGGGGAGCAGCAAACACCTGTTCCGCCACTGAACGAATTGGCACAAGCCACCAAACCAGCAGTTCACGGCCATCTCTAATCAGTACTAATCAAAAGTAAGTCATTAGGCATAAAACTACTAAGCAACCAGGGATCACCACATGTGGCACTGCCTTGCAAAAGACATCAAATTCATGCTTTCTTACCAGCTTTCAGACGAGTTGCAGCTATTTAGCAAACTCAAAAGTGCTCGTGCGCTTTCTTCTAAGTTATACATTAGGAAATTAATTTTAAAAAAATAGCGGGCAGAGTCCTGCCAGTATTCACTTGTAGCTTGCGTAAATTGCCACAGCTAATGAAGGACTAAATAAACAAGGTACACCCTAGCACTTTGGTGCAACAAGTCACACAAACTTTATGTGAACACCAGTAGAGTTCTCGCCAATCAGCGCACAAAGCACCCTGCTTGATAAAAAGCATGCAGTGTTTTGTATAGGTTCTTGAGAAATTAAGGACAGGCTTTTAAAAAAGGTAAGTATGAAAAATGATGCTGTAAGGCAGGGGAAAAAAAACCACTGTATTCTACTGATACACACAAGAGGCAATATACTTAAAACTGCTGGTTGCCAGATTTAGGATGCAGACAGTTATTTATATCACTTTTGGCTGTATCTACAGCATGGTCTGATTTGCTTAATTTGCCAGCAGCCAGACAACACACATGACCATGATCTTGCTTCAGGCCCAATCCAGAGCTTTTTGGTTCAGTGGCAGGTCTGCTGAGTTTTTTGGAACCTGCTGGAGTGACTGGGTTGCATTTAGACAGCAGGATTGATCTAAGAGTTGTTTTCAAGATTGCACCCAGTAAAGCAATGCTTTCTGATGTGATCTATATTGTTGCTGTTTGATTGGATTTTTAGATGCCATAAAACACTCTGCATAATTATAGTTGAAGTTGGCCAGTAGAAGCAAAGGACAAAGGAAGCAAAGCTTACTAGGCCACATCAGCTCTGACACTTGTAAGAGCCAATGTAGTGTCGTAAACGTTTTTGTTCAGAGGAATTGGACCAAAAACCCCTGCCCACAACCACCAAGGACTGTTTCAGGCATTAATGTTAAATCATGGTTTTATACAATGCCTACACATTGCAGAATGCTTGGCTACTAATGCATAGCCTCCTCCACTTGTGCAACATGATCCCTCCCCTTTCTTCTTTGTTTGCACATCTCCAAACCAGGCATAAGCTTAATAATAAAGAAGTGATTCCGTCAGGGAGAGGAACTGTCGACTGATTAACACACAGGCTTCATAGGAGCCAATGTAATCTGGTGACTTTTAGAGAGAAATATTTATTTCTGCATTCCTACAACACCTCACCAGCAGTGAAGCAAGAGATGCAAAAGCCAAGAAATAAAAATCATGAAAAAGATGCTTGCCTTCAAAACTAGTGGAAAAATTCGAAATGGAGGGGAATAATGTACTGAAAAAAGCCCCACTCACCCATATAATAGTTTCTCATTTGAATGGGTAAAATGCTTCCTAACAAAAGGATTTACATACTTTATAAGTATGGCATGAAGATTTTTATGTAACATGGCCCACAGCATTGCAGAATGATAGATCCTGTATATAATGTAGACATATACAACAGTCAGTGTTCTGATAAAGTTTGACCACTGTCCAGTCTCCTAATCTTTATGACTTAACAAGGCTATTTCTGTACAAAAGTACATTATTTTTGTTTACCACAAAATTATGTTTCCTTTTAAAACTTTTACCATGTCCTACTTTAAATAACAAAAACTAGGATTATTTTAAAAGAAAGCTTAAATTGTACCATCTCCCTGCCTCCAGATCACGAGTGGGCAGAATGGAGATTTCAGAGAGATCTGCTGTAGACTAGCAAGAATTCTAGATTCTCAATTATTTAAGCTTCTGGGATTGTCCCTTGCGGGGTGTCACTTTTTGAATGGTGAGCAGAAGCGGGTATTCTGTAGACCAGGGGTCCCCAAGCCCCGGTCTGCAGCCCTGTGCCTGTCTGTGGCCTGGGCCATACTGGGTCACAGAAACAGATTCCCCCCCCGCACACACTCCCCCCTGCACAGCTCCTGCAGGCATGCACACGAGTGCGTCCGCATCCACCCGAGCACCCCCGCCCCTTCACGCATGCATGCAAGTGTGTGCACGCGCCCCTCCAAGCGCCCTGCCCCTTCACGCATGCATGAGTTTGTGTGCATCCATGCAAGTGCACCCCACCCCTTCACGCATGTGCACAAGTGCATGGGGGTGCCCCGCTTTCCCCGCACATGGACCCCGTCCTCCCCCAACCAGTACGCAATGTCAAAAAGGTTGGGGATCACTGCTCTAGACCATCTAGAGTGCTGCCATTGGTGCTGCCAACATTCAGGCTGCCCTTTGCTATGCAAAGCTTGGCATCCTTTTTTCTGCTGGCAATCCAGACATGATATTGTGCAGCAATATTGAGACAACTTCTGGCTTTCTGAATTGTGGATACAGAAACACAATATCTCTCATTCATAAACAAGAGGTGGTTTTTTGTTTATTTTTTTAAGAACTGAATATCGTTATCCCTGGGGTGAGACTGGTTAGTAATTTATAAAGTGAATAAACCAAATTATTTATTAATCATTAAAAATACTGGCTGAAATTATGTTTGTAGCATTCAAAAGAAAGAGGATAAGGAAACAGAAAATATGGTTCACAGTAACTTAGGAAAACCGATAAAAGCCCCTTCGAAATCCAGCTTGTACTTCTGGGAGTTCTCAGTCCACATACTGCTGAAGCCTACCTTGTAGGATTTTAAGCATAACCTTGCGAGCGTGGGAAATGAGTGCAATTGTATGGTAATTGGAGCATTCTTTGGCACTGCCCTTCTTTGGGATTGGGATGTAGAATGATTTTTTTCCCAATCCTCTGGCCACTGCTGAGTTTTTCAAACTTTCTGGCATACTGAGTGTAGCACCTTAATAGCATCACCTTTTAAGATTTTAAATAGTTCAACTGGAATGCCATCACCTCCATTGGCCTTGTTGTTAGCCATGCTTTCTAAGGCCCACTTGACTTCACTCTCCAGGATGTCTGGCTCAAGGTCAGCAACCACATTATCTGGGTTGTCC